TGTATCTGTCTATGTATCTGTGGCTTCTCCCCCTCTTTTTTTTTTTTTTTGCTTTTAAGTTGAAGGTCAGAATAACCAAAATCAGAACCAATTCTGAGTCTTTAAAAGGAATGAATACTGTCTCTTGGATTGATAACAAATGCCACCTGTAAAATTTGCCTCTGTGCTGCAATGACAGAATAGGAACAGTTCCTATGCTTCCTCTTTTATTTGATGGCTATTTTTCTTGTTGAATACACCCATCCCACTTTCAGCACTGATTATGTAGTACTCATTTTTGTAATAAGAATATTACTGTGTAATATGGTCTTACTGGATTTTTATATTTCCCCATCTATTGGAATGCCTCATACTTCAGCTGTAAGCTTTTCAGGAAAATGCCTGCCTTTTTTTTTTTTCTTTTTCTTTTTTTATGGTGCCCTGACAGTGAGCCAGTACGTGGAACCCTTGGGGTGAATACTAATGCTAGCAGATAACCACACAGTTTCACATGAACTGGGATAGATTCAGGTCAAAGTATTTTTATAAAATCTGGAAAGCCTTTTACCACTGCATATCCCCACTGTTTAAAGATCACTGGCTATTTTCAGTGATTTTAACTAAAAAATGCTTTATTTGAAAAAAAAAATAAACAAAACCTATAGTTCATGTACTTAAAAGACTACAACAAAACAGAAGGCTTTTTTTGCATTCAGAACTTACTTCATGCAGGCAGTCACCATGAACATTCTACATCTGAAATAGTCAAAAACAAAATATTTACGAGCTTAAACCACATAATGGTGCATCGGTAGGCGCAGGAAAAAAACCTCCTCATAGGAAGATTGTTTTAAATTTCAGAAACTCTTTAGTAGGTGGTCCCAAGACCTTAATCAACCCAGAAAGCACAAGTACCTGGTCTGCAACTCCACTTCGGGCCACAAGATAGAGCCATTACCACAATCTTCGCAACCCAGCAAGCCTGCTCCATGCAGGAGCTCCAGGGCCCCTGCAGGTTTGGGACTACAGCTTTCGAGACCTAACAGGAATGAAACCCCGCTATAAACATGCTGTACTGGTACATACTATTGAAAATAAGATCATAAAACGAATATTTACATCTGCAAGTTAAAAAAGACAACATAAGGTTTAACAGTTTTACTCTGTTTTGACATGTTTATCACACACAGTAAGGCAAGCCTGAAACTTAGCCTTTTGAGGTGTATACAGCTTTTTTGCACAGAAGTATCACTTTATGCTTGCCCTATTCTTGTATTTCTCCCCAGGCTTCTGCTCCCCATGGAAGACTGCACAGCACTGAGGCAAGCATCAGAAACTGCTGCTGCCTTAGGTTGAGGTGCAATACATGCTTTGTTAATTTTCACCATCCATATTCACAGTGCTTTGCTATCTGAGTACTTTTAATGACAAAATTGAGCTATTCTTTTTTTCATTCTCACTGTTCCTCTCCAAGAGGGAGCGCCAAGATGGAGCAAGATGGCTTTTTCTCCTCAGATATGATTTAATGCAATTAGTGGGTGTCCTGGTTTCGGCAGGGATAGAGTTGATTTCCTTCCTGGTGGCTGGTACAGTGCTGTGTTTTGGATTTAGGATGGGAACAAAATCGGTAAGGCACCCATGTTTTAGTTGTTGCTAGGTACTAGTCAAGGACTTTTCAGCTTCCCATGCTCTACCAACTGAGAAGGCTGCAGGTGCACAAGAAGCTGGGAGGGGGCACAGCCAGGACAGCTGACCCAAACTGGCCAAAGGGATATTCCATACCATGTGATGTCATGCTCAGTATAAAGCTGGGGGAAGAAGAAGGAAGGGGGGGACGTTTGGAGTGATGGTGTTTGTCTTCCCAAGTAACGGTTACGCGTGATGGAGCCCTGCTTTCCTGGGGATGGCTGAACACCTGCCTGCCCATGGGAAGTAGTGAATGAATTCCTTGGTTTGCTTTGCTTGCGTGCGCGGCTTTTGCTTTACCTATTAAACTGTTTTTATCTCAACCCACGAGTTTTCTCACTTTTACCCTTCCGATTCTCTCCCCCATCCCACCATGGGGGAGTGAGCGAGCGGCTGCATGGTGCTCAGTTGCCAACTGAGGTTAAACCACGACAGTGGGTTACCAACTACCCGTGTGCAATACAGCGCATGGGGTAGATGTCATTGCCTCCACACACGCCTCTGGACTGCAGAGCACTGATAACTAACTGTAGGCATGACTCAAGATAACAAGGCTTAGCAATGAGGGGAAATAAATCTTCTATTTGCAACTTGTTCCTATTTGATCAGAAAGTTAGAGACAAACAAGCCACATTTGGACTAACTTTTCAAAGTACAGCTCAACTAAGCTCAAATCTGTATTTTTCAGAATATACTTCTGGCATAGTAAAGCGCATAGGAAAAAACCACTACATACTCATTAAGATGCCACAGTATGTAGTAAATAATATCAAAGTGATGGTCCAGTGTTTTGTCATTTTTACACATATTGCCCAAGATCAAATAAACCCAGTAATTAGATATTGCATGTCACAAATAAACCCTAATGCTGTCCATCCTTGTGGGCAGTCCACGTACTTCCTGTTTCCTTCTCCTAACTTTTAAATATGTTGCTGTGCTACTGTTTTCCGTAACTGCTTGGGTGAGGCCAAATTTTCAAGATGCTTTAAGGCACGCAAAGAACCACAAGATCAAAACTCATGTTCGTTATGATGAATATAAAAGAAAACTACCAGTCCCAGTTCTGCTTTCATTTCATGTTTGAAATACAGAACTTATTGAAAAAGACTATATAGTGAGGTATATATTTTTTGCAATTCATTTCACAGAGATTATTTCTTTAAAATGAAACACACACTTCAAGATGATTGAGAAATGTCCTCTCAGTGCACAGGCTGCTTCACACAGGAAGAAAGGGCAAGCCAAATACATTGGGATCCAGCTGAGATTCCAACTCCATTTATAAAGAACAAATCTGTGTGCCTCTTGGAAAAGCCGAGAACTTTGAGCAGCAACCCTGTACGCTGATCCTAACCCGAAACCGCCAGTATCATTCCCAGTTAAGAATTTCCCTTCATCTATAAAAGTGAATTCATTTTAATAGTACTTAGATCTGCTTTCCCTAAAGGCCTGCTAAAGTTCTTACATAAACTCTATATGCTTTGCTTACAGTCAAACAGGTCACAACTCATTCAGGACACTATTCAGGCAGAACACTCAAAACCACTTTCATTTCAGCAAATACTCTCAACTTCCTACCTTCAGTGGCCCTGCAGCTTATAGAGTCAAAATAATATTTCCTTTCCTTCCTCCTCTTCCCTCTTTGAACTCACAACTGAATCATTTTGTTATATAGTTTCCAACAAGTTGCTATTGACCAGAGAACAACCCAAAAAGATTCTCAAACCCTCACATACAAACTTAGAAAAATGTTAGTACTTAGAAACTGGAATTATGTAGGGAATTCAGTTGTAACAACACTATTTTCTATGTAACTGAGATTTTTCCAAGCATAGTTGTTGTTTTCTTTCAGTACTTTGCTCCATCCTTCACTCCACTTTTTTTCCTTGATCTTCTGCTGAATGCCACCCTTGGGTTTTGGGCTGTTGGTTTTTTCCCATTATTACAATCTATTCCTTCCTCTTTCTCATGTTGGTTTTGCTCCTTTGCTCCGAGCACAAACTTACGTTCTTTCAGCCACGTAACTCCTAGTGCTCTGATGCATTTCTTCCACACACACTCATTTCTCCTCTTCCATAAAGAGTGTCCAGTTCCGAACTCTCCCATTCCCCATTGCCTGGGAACATGGAAGTACCAATTCCCAGCTTCTGCCTACATAGAGAAATAGGCCAGCAACAAATATATTCTGAAAGCAAATTCTCCCACATCTGAGAAGATAAACAGCATTCGCTACTGGTCCAGAAATTGCTCTCTCTTGGAAGCCACTGTTTAGCCAGCAGGGCCATACGCACTTCCTACAGTAGAACAGCATGAGATTGTCTCAAAATTTTGATGCAAGTCTTTTTATCCTAACATTCCTCAAACTTTACAAAATTGCAACCGCCTTCTAACTAATACATTTTTGTGTGACTTCTCAACTTGGCAGAAGCACAGAGGAGTGACAGTCAGCTGGATTTCCTGGCTGCAGGTATAAACATTGACTCCCCTCCCCTGAAGGAATAAACTGCTGCCAGCAAACCGAGAAAATTCACAGTTCTCCAGTTATTTCTTTCTCCCCACCCTGGAGGAACTGAGCTGCTGCCAATTAACATAGCATTTTCCTACACTTAGCAATCCCTTTGAACTTTTTCAGGATTTTAAAGGAAACAGCTTTGTCTCTATGTAAATCTATTCAGTGCAAATCCTAGTCACAAGAAAGGACTGATAACTGTAGCAGAAGCCCCTAGACAAGGGAATCTTGTTATTTTGCATCCATTACTTGAAAAATATAGTATATACAATTGATTTACACAAAAGCCAAGAAGAATCTAAGTGCAATGGAAATGAAATCACAGAGACTAAGAAATGAAGTGCACATGAGATGAACCACATTCAAAATTCCATGGATTGGAGATTACATTGCTTTTCATGTCACTCCCCACATTACTACAAGCTGTCTTAAATGAACCATTATTTTCCACTCAGACTATACTCACATTATAATTTAAGTATTAATTCTGATGTTCTACCTGTCATTCCTTGAGAAATAGGATTAAAAGCTGACTATTTCTCCTACAGCATGAACACTCACAATGTTTAATGGCACAGAAACAATTTAGGTCCAGGGCAAAGGGACAGAAGGCTAGCAACTTGAATATTGGTATGAGACTGCTACAAAAAGAGAAGCTTCTTCTCCCCAATTTGGTTTTCATCTGTCCATAAATACAGCAAGATACACGCAGAACTCGTCTCTCACACTAGTCAAAAATACCCTCTCAAGTTGCCTGAATAACTGCATTATTATATTTAAAAAATTCTCATAGATGCCTTCTTTATGTAATATGTTAAAAACTCACAAAATCAGCTTCAAGTTTTCCCATTTCTTGTTTGTAGCTTCTCATTCGACTACTGTACATTCCTCGGCTTTGAGGTGGGATCTCTCGAACTTCAAGTTCCATCTGCTCAAGCTAGCAAGTAAAAATAAAGAAGAGACATGTAAATCAAAAGGGTAATTAAAGCAAAGATGAATCTACCTAAAATGTTCACAAATACTAAGAAATATTCCTTCTTTATCATGAAAAATGTTGTTTATTCTGCATTATATAAACAATTTATTAAAAATCTTTACACAACCTTAAGTCAACAAACAAGTGACAAAATTAGTATCATTAACACTTAGAATGAATGATTCCAGTCAAACATTTCTGGATTTCAATTCCAAATGTGGTGAATACATTTTATTACAAGAAAATAGTAAAACTGAGGTTAAATAACTTCCTGCAAATGAGCATAGTTCAGAAGAAAGCCTACCTCCATCTAGCTGTGTGGTTTTGGAAACCCTTTGCTGAAAAAGGTATTTTATTTGTTTTTATACACACACACACGTATGTATATATACATACGTATATATACACACACATATGTGTGTGTGTATATACATGTATATGTATGTATATACGTGTGTGTATATATATACACACATGTTGTTGGGTTGATGGTTGGACTCGATGATCTTGGAGGTCTCTTCCAACCTTAATGATTCTATGATTCTATGATTCTATGTTTAAAGTTTTATTTACCACCAGCCTCTATGTTTAATAAAATAATTCTTTTTCTTTTAAATACTGCTTACTCGGCAGAATTACAAAGCCTGAAATGACTGCCTAAATCTACTTCCCAAATCTGTATGTAGGTATATTAAATAGCTGAATTTCAGGATTTAATGACAATACTATTCAAGAACTTGTATACAGTCAAATGCATTAAAACATCAGAGATAGAAAAAGCTTTTGAAAGATATATTCTATTTATTCTTGCCACGTAGAATACTAAGGGGCCTGAAACGCAAGAATATGGGACAGAGGTACAGAAAATCAAAAGGAGTTATAAACCAGGGTTGAGCTGCCTGCTAGTTACCTGCCCACTGGGTCATGGAGCGTCCACTACATAGTGCTGTCTGTTTGGAAATTCTGTTTTGCACAGCTGAAGAATCCCTTACCTGCCTTTTAAAATCTTTCCAACTTACTCTCAAAAAGATAATGGAATACTTCTCCTTGGTTGCTGAAGGCACCTGAAACAATATTTACTCGTCTCCTACTGATCTCAGTTGAGCAATATGGCACTGGAACAGAAATGCCTTTCCGTTAGGGTCCCAAGCTACTGGTTACAGGTCTTCACAAGGGACAGCTACAGTTTATTCCTATGTAATTGCTTGCTTACACTTTGAAATTTCATCCTCATATCGTAAGAAAAGAATCTGAATTTAATCAGTGGAATTACCAGATACTCAAGAGTCATTCCGCCTGATCTATTCTGATTATACAAAATTATATCCAATAATAAACTGTAAAGCAGACTTTAATTAAATAGTCAGTAATGAATTGAAACATACAAAGCAATTCCTAATTCTACTCAGTTCTTTGGCTCAGGCTTAACTTTCCAAAGGGGTATCATAAATTAAACCGATAGCTGGAGTTAATGGCTTATTTCTTATCAATTTCATCTCAATATATTTGATCTCAAATGTTCTATAAACATAGAAAACATTCCTCTCATATATATATAATTATATGTGCAAGGTCGGGATACTTTACTGAAGTCTCAATTCTTATCTATTATACAAAAATGAAACCATCTCCCAGTAAATACAAAATTTGCAGCAAGGATCAGACCACAGTCCATTAAATCCAAAATGTTCATTCTAAAGGGTCAGTATCAGAGAGTGTAAGGTCCAAGGAACAATGATAAAGCATGCCTATTTAGGCTGACCGACACTTAACGGCTTTTTTTTTTGTCATCATGAGCTTAAACGGGTACATTTTGTGGCTGGGCTGATAAATTTCCATGCGGAGTCATGCAGAAGATAGCCGTCCAAGCAGGTGTGAACCTAAAGGAAACCTAATTTCATGCATCCTCACTTTCAGGCCTCACATTATTGGTCATAAAATCATGTTTTTCATACACTAGCAAGAACAGAGCTAAATTCTACTAAAAGCTAAAAATAAGCTGGCATTTAAATCTCAAAACATCTGTAGAAGCTTAAGTTTTCTTCAGAAAACCTAAAAGCTCAAACTTCTCTTATTGCGTATGTTCAAACTTGCCACCACTCTAGTGAAGCTGAGCATTTTGGCACCTAACTCTTGCTCAAATTCATAAACCAGGCCCCATCCTTAAGGCTCCCCAGGTGTTTAACCTAGCAGGTTTGCTCCTAACAACACCCAGTACACTCCCAGCACCGAATACAGCATAAAGCAGAGCAACCAATGGTAATTCCATTCAAAAGTACAACAAAGTAAGGTAGTGCTGCTGCTGATGTCCATTGAGACTCCAAAATAAGTCTCCCCCTCCTGCAGAACTTTTCCATGTGGAAATTGCTCTGGAGAGTTGCTAGCATTTTATGAAACTTGTAGGTTTTGCTATTTTATTCTGATTCTAAAGTCCGGGAACTAAAATAGAGATCTATATTTAAAAAAACCCAAGTGTCTAAATAAGAATAACCTAGCATTTGCAACACTAAATTTACATGCATTATTAAAAAGCCAAGTGTCTAGATAAGAATAACCCAGCACTTGCAACACAACAATTTTGTGATGTGTCCCTCATAAAACATAAAGGCAAATAATGCACAGTTTTTTCTTCTTAAAAACAGATTTCACTCAAAAATGCTAATTCCAGCTCTCCTAGCACATGCTAGATTTTACACTTAAAGAATTTCCCTAAGGTTATCACAACATTTTCCTTTCTTAAAAACCTGGTAAAAATAACATTCAGATACTCCACACAGGATGCAGAATGACAGAATTTCTCTCCAGAGATCTCTTACTCAGCAGCTCTGGCTTGAAAAGGCAGCCTGGGAGTCTGAAAAGTTTTGGTGTCAGTTCTGCACATAGATGAAATCACCAGTGATTTTACCCAAACAAAGCAGACTGTTCTAAAACAATCAATGGTTAGTCAATGTAAATAAATTATCTCTACAATAATATTTATAATACATGAGAGTGTTATTTCCTAGCCAAGAAGAAAATAAAACAAAATCAGCTAAACCCAGCTTTGACTACTCAAGACAATGAAGCAAACCGATGTATGAAAACTACCAGTAGCAAGGAATTAGGCTTATTTTTATTTTCTACTGTAGCCTTTAGTTTAAAAGAGGATCTTTTTAATCAGTTCTGTTAGTAGCAGGTTTGTTCAAATTGATTTTTAAACCCAAGCCTTGACATTAATCACAAACATGTTAGGTAATTGCTTAAAGCCAATAACTGAATTAAGCACCTGTCTAGCAGCATTAGCAACAAGATCTAAAACAAAAGCATGAAAGAAAAGCCAGTACATTAAATGAAGATTATCTTTAGGATAAAAGTACAGATACAGGCTTTACTTTTTAATCTCAGAATAAATACAAATTTAGATGATCTTTTTCCAACATAAGGAGAAAAGTAACGAGCCATTAACTCAACTTCTGCTCCTTCCAATCTTCAAGTAGAAAACCAAATTCGAATTATTTTTCCTCAGACCACCCATCCTACAATTTCCCTGTACTGCTATGCTTTTTTGCCATGTCAAGTTGTAGTGAAAAGGAGATGAAAAACATTTCTGGATTTTTACTTACTTTCAGCTGTTTGAATACGAAAGTGCCCAAAAGGCCTTAATATATCTTCAGAACATCCTCATGAGATGGGACAGTAATTTTACTGTATTTCTCACTGAGAATACCAAATCAGAGAGGTTAGGCACCTTGCCATCCTCGCAGGGTAAACCTGCAGTGGAGTCATCCCAAGATCCGGCTTTCCTGGATGCTATTCCAGTGCTCTGGTCTACAACACTAATTCAATTCTTAAACCAAAAGCACCACATTTGTCAACAAACACTCTAGAGACCTTTTTCTTCCTATGCCACTTTAAAAAGTGAATTTCAATATTACTGTTTAGTTAGTAACCAAATAATTGATTCAAGTTGCTCAATTACAAGAACTTTCAGGCTACAAGAACTAATTTCCTTTCCCCATCCTAACAGTCAAATTACATTTCTGACACTAGATAGACCAAACTCATTTGCAAGCAATAAACAAAAGCAATTTCAGGCAAGGAACTATTGGCTATGTGGGAAAAAGTCAATCTCAACTGTCACCAACACCTTTGCTCAGTTAGTCCACATCTACAAAACTTTACTTTTACACTCCATCCAGATGGAGGACACAACAGGCTGTAATGGGAACAAATTACAAAAAGGTCACAGTTGCTTAACATATATTGCTTTCTTCTGTCAGTGCGGACCACTAACTAATGCTTGATTAACATATATACTCTTCTCGCATCAGTAATCCACACTACCATTGCCCCCTTGACCTCAAAGAACTAAATATCTTTATGCCTCGCCTGCTAAAAGAGAAAAAAAGATCTACTGCTCTACAAGACAATCAGAAAGATTAAATCAAGTAGATGCACAGGTCCTACAAGAAAAAAACAAACAGTCCACGTGTGTAAATATTTAACTCAATTCCTAAAGTAAAAGACCTAATCCACAACTCAAAGCCTGTAGCAGCCTGTGATAACTTACAGCAATAATGCAAACCTTAAATCACTTAACACAAGATTAACAAAGGATACATTCCTCTTGGGTATTTCATATCCTCAAGTAAGAACTATTTAAAAAATATTATTTCATTTTCTAATATATTATTGTTAAATATTTTTAGGGCATCATGTGTGTTAAACGTTACCGCTAATGATCCTATTATTTTCTGTAGGAATTTGCAGTTAACATATGAAAAGCCAAAACATACCAGTTCCCTTGCTTCTTCGAGCTGTTTCTCAACATTTGCAACCATCTGCTTCTTGTCATCTGAAACAGAATTGTGAAAATACCAATATAATTGTGCTCTTGCCGTGAAAGAAAAATATACTTTTTCAAAAGCTTATATGTACCAGTTAAAACTGACTCAAGAGATTTATTCTGTGTGACATCATCATGCACTGTGATACCCACATTAGTAATTAAAAAAAAAAAAAAAAGATTGGAGAATCCTTGAAGGCTTCTGCTTTGTTATGCAGCATTTGCTAGTTAGGAAAGCAGTTACAGCTGCTTCAGGTGTAGGAGTTATGCCTCAGCAGGCACTTGCTGGGTGCGTACAAATGCATGAGAAGGCACCTACTTAGGCCAAATGGAAAAAAAATTATGGCTTAAGAACAAAGGCTTATCCTATTTATTTGCAAAATATGAGATGCACAAAACCAAGCATCCCACTTATAATGAATCCAGGTACTGAAGAAAAATTAGGTTTCTATTCCCCTGCTTCTATGCTGTGTCTAGAACCCTGCTTCTTCTGCTTCAACAGAAACAAAATGAAATGCCATGAGAACTACAAGAAAACCACTGTCTTCTAGTAGCAGTAAAAATGTAAATTAATAAAATATGAAAATTTAAAAAAATTAAAATCAGTTATAAGCTATATGTAGTAATGATCATCTGCCAGGTTCCCCAACAGGTCTATATCCCAGCTATAGAGAGCATGTCTAACTTTTGACCTGCCTCTAACCATCCATTCTCAGGCAGAGAATCCAATGTGAACTGAGATTGAGTGTCACATCTGCCAAATATTCCAATTGCTTGACCACTTGGTTTGTTACAGCACAAAAGGGGACTTCCTGAGGAATATTCAGTCACTGTATAATAAAAAGTCTCCACATTGCCTAACTACCATGAGCATTCAAGGGCTGCAATACTGCCATTTGCACCACCTCATGCCCCTCTCATGGCCACATCTTCCATCATTCTGACTGTAAATCCACACGTTGTCTCAATGAAGTTAACAACAAAACTCTGAACATACAACCCTTTACACCACGGTTCGTTTGAAACCAGGAGCATCATGAGACATCTGTGCTGGTGGTTTGCCTGATGAAGCAGATAAAAAGTGAATTGCACAAACGCATCTCCAGTCATTGCTTCCCAGAGAACATGATGGATAAGTCTATGTCGCCACAAGAGACTTTATTGTGTATCTTTACACTTCACGGTTTTCTTTTTTAGCCTGAATTCCTTTGCTTCTCTTCCACATGATCTCTTTGTACCCTAGAATTGACACGTTAAAGACTAAAAGGGACTATCTGATGATCCCCTTTGATCCTCTGCATGCCACAAGCCACTGAATTTCAAGAGGGACTCCCTTTATTAAATATATATAATTTAGCTTCTCAGAGGCCGAAATGCTTTATTTTTAAGCAAACTTAGTGCCATAGGCAGGAATCGGGGCATGCTGAGGTAGCAACCAAAAACAGAATTTCTGCTGTATAAAGTAAAACGTGCCCTTAAAACAACCTTCCTTAAAAGCAACAGAACCACTTCTGAAAGGACTACATTGCTACAGAGGTTTTGGTGAAACATCCCCAGCATAAGCATGTTGTGTTTCAGCCGAGCTGCCCCACTGCTGTTCCACAGTACCCTTTATTACATTTGCATGGGCCTATCCATCTGTCTTCTCATTTACCTAAGATACTCTACACTCTCATTTAAGGACACGTGAACATCATGATCTGTCCTTCTTCAGCTACATACATTGGAGCTCTGCCTGCAGAGAGGATCAGGTTCAGGATCATCTTTCCACCTTTAAGGTAATGCAGAGATCTTTGCAAATAACCAGCTATGCAAGGACTAGAAAAGCTGTCTTCTGAGGATACAACAGTATGTCTGGCAAAACATAGCTAGAATAAAATCTTGAAGTACACTGAAGTCCTCTGAGTAAAGGGAACTCTGCCAGCGACACAAGTGAGAAGGAGGCACTTGAATCCCCCCACAAATTAAAAGTTAGAGCTCACCTTTAAATTCTCCCAGAGTTTCCCTTCTTATCCTTGAAAGGCCCAGAATTTCATCAAGTAATCCTCTCTACAAAGCTAAAGCCATGGAAAAACAGCACCTTTCTTACAAATCTGGAATTCACACTGCGACGTCTGGTTGATTCTACTACAGCAGAAGATGTAGGAAATGCTCATTTCTGTGCAGCACTTTTAGTTCTCTGCTAGCAATGTCTTTCTTTAATTCCCCATCAGGTTCTCACGATGGCACCCAAGCCAGAAAATGTAATGGTTAGTGATTTATCTTCCTAACATAACTAAACCCAAAAGAAAAGAGAATCTGCCACTTGTTTGCCTAAGTGGCAACACATTTCAATTCTCCTACCCACCATCTCAAAACACCTCTGTTCTTTCATTTGGAAGTGGGCAAGATGATGATGAGTGAAAGGAAAAACAATGTAAGATGTAAAACACACAATACCATTTATTGAAGCTGAAATAAAATTAAAAAAATATAGCAGCAGAAAATAAATGTACTATAGCAATTTCAGTATTTCCTTGAGTTTTACCAGATTACAATTTCCACATACATTGAGCAACCTGAAATTTAGGGATATAAAGTTGGGGGTTTGGGGAAGATACTTCATTCTGTACAAATTCTGTGTGTACTTGTGATTACAAGAACTACGTAGCACTCCACTGACCAGTAATATCTTACCTACCCACACAGATATTAAGGTACAGACCTTTGGTAGGGAAAACTCATTAGTACACAAAGAGGTCTGGCTGAAACTGCTCCCATAAAATTGAGGAGGTATTCAAATGATCTTCAATGGTTTAGTTAATTAAACTTTAACCCAACTCCAGAGTTGCATTTTAACATTGTCCCAGATTTATCAATACACAATCACCCAGCTGGTGACCAGAGCAACTGCTGGGAGCGAGGTCTACTGACAACAGGCCTTTGTTGTTCCTTCAAACACAGATGTGTGAGCAGGCACATGGCAACATCCTGGCACTGCAGCATTGGAGCAGTATCTTCACGGATTTCCAGGACAGCAGCTGAAATTGTTGCAACTGCTGATCCTCTAGTGCACACAATACCATGCAGTCCCCAGAGCAAGAAGGGGTGGCAGGATCCAGCAGGGTCACTTTGGTAAGGAAAAGCAAGCTTACCAAAGTATAAGTATCACCCACTTGGTTTCACTTTCCTTTCTTCCTCTAGCCGCATCCATGTAAAATCCTGGTGGGAGTATGCTGCCTGGAGCCACTTGCCTGCAGGGCTGCCAACACCCCTAGACCTGTTGTTGATATCAGCAACAGAAGCATTAACTACAACACTGTCAATCAGAAAGCACTTGCTGGAATGGTTTTCAGATCGTTTACTTCCAGTTTTACTGCCATGGTTAACCTAAGGAAATAACTTATTTCACAGTCAGAATCCCCATAGAAAGGAGGACACAATATCCACAGGATGACTTGCTCAGAGACTGCAGATGAGGTCAGAGGGAGTTACTCAGAGTAAGGGAAGCTTGCCACTAATCTAGTAGATCAGGACAAACAAGTTATGATCTAATTAAAGATCCTCATATTACTAACTGTACTACTCCACGGTGTCTTAGTATTCAATCTGCCTATCTGATCATTTCCTTAAATACACTTCCATCATATGAAATAATGAAAAGGGTTTTTAATAACTTTTTTTAATTCAGAATTTATAATATCCTTTAAAGAAAATAAAAAACAATGCTCCATCAAATATAACTAAATTTAGAACAGAATTTTGTCTCCACATTGCCAGACAGAATGTCCTAAAGAAAATATTGCATGTAGCTTGTATAATTTAACTGGTCAAATTGACAAAATATGGATAAAAACTGGAAACAAAAGTGGTTTTTTCCTCCCGGTAAGGACTGCAAAGAAATCCATTCTGTGTTCGTATACAAGGTTGCATCACTTTCTTAAAAGAAACAAGCTTTTACTACATTTTCCTCAATTCTTTCAGCTTTGCCCTTGCGTTGGTTACTGTTTTGTCCCCCAAAATACAGCAGTTACAGAAAGGCAGAAATCTGCCTACAAGTGTAGAAAGATAACACAGCACTGGTTTGATCTCACAACCAATGATTAAAAGAGTCTGGACCAAGAGTGGATAGCCTCATTGCTTGTGGAATTGCTTCTTTTTATTAGTACATGCTGAGGAAGAGACTGAGTAACAACGGGCTTGAGTTCATAGACCACTTGCCGCTTTTGCTACACCGGCTGAGGTGGTTTACATGTTCACCACTGCCAGAAGTTACTGCCCAACAGCAGAGACAGATGCAACAATACATGCGGTTCTTTCTTTGCGTTATAAAACTGGGTTCAAGAGGCACAACACAATGAGCCGGACCTGAAATGGAGACAGTAAACTCCAGCACAGGGGTACAACAGAAAACTAAAGGTGGGACTTTCTTCAACTAAATCTGTTAGAGACCGAAATACAGTGCTTTGATTGCCCAGCAGAAAATGCAGGTATCGAGTATCAGAAGAATGACAGCACTCAAGTCTAAAACCATCACGACCCAGAGACTATTGTACTGGGAAAAGGCTAAGCATCACCATCTGTGCTGATAAAACTCTCTTTCAGATCAAGCAATCAAAATTTATATAAATTTTTGGTCAAAGCACAAGACAGATGTTTATCTGAAACACCGAGGAACATTAATAGAACACATCAGCCAATGATCTTCATTCTTCAAAGACCTGCAGCAGCATCACAGATAATCTATTTAAAAGCCATTTCTCTATTTAGAACACTTCAATTCTCCAGATGATGCTGGCCTCAACAGAAGACATTTCTTCCCAAGACGTTCTATCGTCCCTGCTGCTTATTGTTTCTGTAGTATCAGAGTGCCTTTGTTACATTTCTTGCTGAACTATTTATGCATTTGTGACAATAGGATTGTTTGTTGAGCCATCATCCTCCTAGAACACAAGACAGCATCAAGTCCTGACAACACCAAATGCAGGAACGTTGCAAAAACAGTTAACCAGTATTTCTCCAATTCAACTGAACACGAAGCTTACAGCAGGTCCATCTTGGGCAGCAGAAGGAAATAAACCAGTCACTAGACTTCAGAAGATATCTCTGTATTATGCAGAAGTCCTTACACCTTTCATCCTGCTTCTTCCAGCGTGGAGGAAGAAGGCCATCAGCAATCTCTCTCAAATCACTGCTGCTGAAAACTGCCACCTCACGTGCATCTCTCCTCACGTCCCCCTCCCACCTCATAATCCTCTTTTTGAGGGTCTCCCAGCCATCTCCACAAGAACTAACTGGAACTTCTGGTGATGAAGAAGCAAAGATCTTGCAAATATTCCTATTAAGAAACAAGGGAAAAATGTGTATTTAAAATATTTCTGATCAAAGTGTTCAGCAGAGTCAGAGATTTTTTTTTTTTCCCCAGGTGGTCAAATGCCTCTATTAGCTAAGACTGCAATTTGTTTTGAAGTCATACATGAATTTTTTGCTGATGAAAGACAGAATAGCCCTGAAAACTGAAGCAACACACTCACTCATAAATGTACAGCGCAAGAAGTAGCTATAATGCAAGCCAGTCCAAACCGTGTATGACTAGCCTCAAATCCTAACACGGAAAAGCCACCTCTTTAAAAAAAAAAAATTAACCATTGTCTTATCTGGAGGCCATTTAGCCTGGTACCACGCTACCGGTCCTGCAGGGAACATTCTTTCTCCTCTGAGAGGATGGCAA